AAGGGTTTGGGGACAATGGACCCTAAAGGGGTTTGGGGACAATGGACCCTGAAGGGTTTGGGGACAATGGACCCTAAAGGGGTTTGGGGACAATGAGCCCTGAAGGGTTTGGGGACAATGGACCCTGAAGGGATTTGGGGACAATGGACCCTGAAGGGTTTGGGGTTCCCAAGGTGAGGGGGCGATGTCCCCGCAGCAGGGGGGGGACGGGGGGGGACAGGGGACGATGTCCCCAAACTGGGGGGGGGCAGGGCTGGGGGGCCCGGTAGGGGGCGCTGCTGGCCCGGCAGCGATTGGGGACAGGGGAAAACCCGGGGGACATTGGGGACACCCCTGGGGACACTGGGGACACCCCCGGGGGGACATCCCTGGGGGGACATTGGGGACAAGCCCGGGGGACATTGGGGACACCCCTGGGGGGACATTGGGGACACCCCTGGGGACATTGGGGACAAGCCCGAGGACATTGGGGACACCCCTGGGGACACTGGGGACAAGCTTGAGGACATTGGGGACACCCCCGGGGGGACATTGGGGACAAGCCTGGGGACATTGGGGACACCCCCGGGGGGACATCCCTGGGGGGACATTGGGGACACCCCTGGGGCATATTGGGGACATTGGGGAAAACCCTGGGGGGACATTGGGGACACCCCTGGGGACATTGGGGACACCCCCGGGGGACATTGGGGACACCCCCGGGGAACACTGGGGACACCCCTGGGGACATTGGGGACACCCCTGGAGCAATTCCCAGATTTTTCTCCCAGTCCCAGGTGGATTCTCCCAAGGAATGGGATTTTCCCGAGGGATGGAGAGGATGGAAAGGGCTGGAAAGAGGGAAAAATGGGAAATAGGGGAAAATGGGAATGGGGGGAAATGGGAATGGGGGAAAATGGGAATGGGGGGAAATGGGAATGGAGGGAAATGGGAAATAGGGGAGAAACGGGAATGGGGAAAAAAAAATGGGAATAGAGATAAAAACTAGGAATGGGGGGAAATGGGGAATGGAGGGAAATGGGAAATAGGGGAGAAACGGGAATGGGAAAAAAAAAAATGGGAATAGGGATAAAAACTAGGAATAGGGAGAAAAAAGTGGGAATAGGGGGGAAAAAAGTGGGAATTGTGCCGGGACAGCCCTGGAGAGGCCCAGGCCGAGGGGCCGGAATGTCAATGAGCAGAGAGCTCCCATTGTGAGGGACAATGGGGCCAGATGGGGCCGGGGCCCCAACGGGGTTTGGGGTCTGCCGGGGTGGGAACGTCACCGTAACGGGATTGGGAATGGGAAAAGTGACCCTGAAGGGTTTGGGAATGGGAAAAGTGACCCTAAAGGGGTTTGGGAATGGGGACAGGATCCTAAAGGGGTTTGGGAATGGGAAAAGTGACCCTAAAGGGGTTTGGGAATGGGAAAAGTGACCCTGAAGGGGTTTGGGAATGGGGACAGGATCCTAAAGGGGTTTCGGAATGGGAAAAGTGACCCTGAAGGGATTGGGAATGGGAAAAGTGACCCTGAAGGGTTTGGGAATGGGAAAAGTGACCCTAAAGGGGTTTGGGAATGGGAAAAGTGACCCTGAAGGGGTTTGGGAATGGGAAAAGTGACCCTGAAGGGGTTTGGGAATGGGAAAAGTGACCCTGAAGGGGTTGGGAATGGGAAAAGTGACCCTGAAGGGTTTTGGGAATGGGGACAGGCCTTTTCCTTTTCCCCCCAGAACTGCACAAGGACACAGTGGATAAGTTCATAGTAGTAATCATAATAAATAGTGATAATAATAATTAATGATAATAATAAATAAGAAATAATCATAATTCTCAATAAATAAATCAATTCCATAAATATCCTCATGGCACAGAGACGGGGGGAGGGGAGGGAAGGGTCTGGGGGAAAAGGAGGAGCCGGCCCCGGGAATTCCCGCTGCAGTTCTCCGGGAATTCTGGTCCCAGCTCCTCTGGGAACTGCAGCTCCAACCTTTTGGGATTTGCTGTCCCAGCTCTCTGGGATTGGCAGCTCTGTCCCTGTGGGAATTTTGGCTCCATCCTTCTGGGAATTGCTGCTCCAGTTCCTCAGGAATTGCTGCTCAAACCCCTGGGAATTGCGGCTCCACTCTCTGGGATTTGCTGCTCCAACCTTTTGGGATTTGCTGCTCCATCCCTCTGGGATTTGCTGCTCCATCCCTGTGGGATTTGCTGCTCCAACATTTTGGGATTTGCTGCTCCATCCCTCTGGGATTTGCCGTCCCAGCCCGCCAGGATTGGCTCTTCCTTCCCTCTGGAATTGCGGATCCAAAGCCCTGGGAGCAGGGCCGGGGGGGCAGGGTGGGCACACGGATGGACGGATGGATGGACACAGGGATGGACAGAGGGACACAGGGATGGACACACAGACACAGGACGGACACACGGACACAGGACGGACACGGGGACGGACACACGGACCCCTCAGACGTCCAGGACGTGGTTCAGGTAGGAGATGTAGCAGATGGCCAGGCGCAGGATCTCGATCTTGGAGAGCTTCTTGTCGGGGGGCAGCGTGGGCAGCAGGGACGGACACACGGACACAGGATGGACAGATGGACCCGTCAGACGTCCAGGACGTGGTTCAGGTAGGAGATGTAGCAGATGGCCAGGCGCAGGATCTCGATCTTGGACAGTTTCTTGTCGGGGGGCAGCGTGGGCAGCAGGCGCCGCAGCTCGCCGAAGGCCGCGTTGAAGGCCTCCACGCGGACGCGCTCGCGCGTGGCGTGCGCCGTGCGGTACTTGGCCGTGGCGCGCCGCCGCCGCCGCCGCTCCTCCCGGCTCAGCGCCTCCTTCCCGGCCGGGCCCGCGGCCCCGGCGCCCGGCGCGGGCTCGGGGTGCGCCGGCGGCACCGCCGGGGCGGCCGGCTCCGAGGTCAGCATCATGGCCAGGGCAGAGGGGACGGCGACGGAGGGAGCCCGGGGGTTTGGGACGGTGACAAAGAGACCCGGGGGCTTGGGGACAGAGACAAAGGGACCTTGGGGACGGCGACAAAGGGAACTTGGGGACTTGGGGACAATGACAAAGGGACCTTGGGGACAGAGACAAAGGGAACTTGGGGACTTGGGGACAACGACAAAGGGAACTTGGGGACAGAGACAAAGGGAACTTGGAGAGTTGGGGACAGATCCAGAGGGACCTTGGGGACAGAGACAAAGGGACCTTGGGGACTTGGGGACAGACACAAAGGGAACTTGGAGAGTTGGGGACAGATCCAGAGGGACCTTGGGGACAGAGACAAAGGGAACTTGGGGACTTGGGGACAATGACAAAGAGACCCAGGGACTTGGGGACAGAGACAAAGGGACCCCGGGGGTTGGGGATGGTGACAAAGGGAACTTGGAGAGTTGGGGACAGATCCAGAGGGACCTTGGGGACTTGGGGACAACGACAAAGGGACCTTGGGGACTTGGGGACAACAACAAAGGGAACTTGGGGACTTGGGGACAACGACAAAGGGAACTTGGGGACAGAGACAAAGGGAACTTGGGGACTTGGGGACAACGACAAAGGGAACTTGGGGACTTGGGGACAATGACAAAGAGACCCGGGGACTTGGGGACAGAGACAAAGGGACCTTGGAGAGTTGGGGACAGATCCAGAGGGACCTTGGGGACTTGGGGACAACAACAAAGGGATCCCGGGGACTTGGGGACAGATCCAAAGGGACCCCGGGGGTTGGGGACGGCAACAAAGGGACCCCGGGGACAGCGACAAAGGGACCTCAGGGACTTGGGGACAGATCCAAAGGGACCCCGGGGACTTGGGGACGGCGCTGAAGGGACCTCAGGGACTTGGGGACAACAACAAAGGGAACTTGGGGAGTTGGGGACAATGACAAAGGGACCCCAGGGTTTGGGGACAGCTCTGAACTGATCCTGGGGTTTGGGGACAGATCCAAAGGGACCTTTGGGGTTTGGGGACAGATCCAAAGGGACTTTGGGGGTTTGGGGACAGATCCAAAGGGACCTTTGGGCTTTGGGGACAGATCCAAAGGGACTTTGGGGGTTTGGGGACAGCACCAGAGGGATCCCAGGATCAGCTCTGAACTGACCTGGGGGTTTGGGAACAATTCCAAAGTGATCCCGTGGATCTGGGGACACCTCCAAGCTGGTCCCAGGGACCTGGGGACACCTCAGGAGAAGCTGGCCCCGCTGTTTTGGGGTCACCCCAAGCTGGCCCCGCTGTTTTGGGGTCACCCCAAGCTGGTGTCGCTGTTTTGGGGTCACCCCAAGCTGGCCCCGCTGTTTTGGGGTCACCCCCGAGCCGATCCCGCTGTTTTGGGGTCACGCCAAGCTGATCCCGATGTTTTGGGGTCACCCCCAAGCCGATCCCGATGTTTTGGGGTCACCCCAAGCTGGTGTCACTGTTTTGGGGTCACCCCGAGCCGATCCCGGTGTTTTGGGGTCACCCCGAGCCGATCCCGATGTTTTGGGGTCACCCCAAGCTGGTGTCACTGTTTTGGGGTCACCCCAAGCCGATCCCGGTGTTTTGGGGTCATCCCAAGCCGATCCCGATGTTTTGGGGTCACCCCGAGCCGATCTCAGTGTTTTGGGATCACCCCCAAGCCAATCCCGCTGTTTTGGGGTCACCCCCGAGCCGATCCCGATGTTTTGGGGTCACCCCAAGCTGGTGTCACTGTTTTGGGGTCACCCCAAGCTGGCCCCGCTGTTTTGGGGTCACCCCGAGCTGATCCCGCTGTTTTGGGGTCACCCCCGAGCCAATCCCGGTGTTTTGGGGTCACCCCGAGCCGATCCCGATGTTTTGGGGTCACCCCAAGCTGGTGTCACTGTTTTGGGGTCACCCCGAGCCGATCCCGATGTTTTGGGGTCACCCCAAGCCAATCCCGCTGTTTTGGGGTCACCCCGAGCCGATCCCGATGTTTTGGGGTCACCCCCGAGCTGATCCCGCTGTTTTGGGGTCACCCCGAGCTGATCCCGCTGTTTTGGGGTCACCTCAGCAGGAGAAGTCCCCGGATCTGGGGTGTCCCTGCCCAGCTCCCAGCAAGGCCCGTGGGGATCCTCCTCCTCCTGCTCCTCATCACATTCCAGCCGGGAATTGGGGCATTTTCCTTGGGAATTCCGCGTTCCCGCAGAAAACTTCCCCGGGGGCCGGAGCCGGGAGCGCAGCCGGAGACATAAAATCCAACTCGAGATTTTCCGTGGATTTGGGGCTCCCAAATTTGGGGTCAGGACGCGGCTCCGGAGCCCTCAGGGGTCAGATCCCGCCGGGTCTGGAAAAGAAGGATTGGGAATTTCAGCTCCCGGTGGGAAAGGAGCCGGCAGAGGCATCTAATAAAATAATAAAAATTAAACTATGAAATTAAAAAAAAAATTAAAAATCAATAAAATAAATAATATTAAAAAATAACAAAAAAGTGAAGTAAAAATTAAAAGGAAGTAAAATGAAGTAAAACGAAGTAAGAGCAAATAAAAATAAAAATATAAAAAAGAAAAGGAAAATCGAGGATTTTCCAGTTTTTCCCCGTCAGGTCCTGGTGACTTTGGGAGACAAACTCAGGGAATTGCAGCTGCCGGATGGAGCAGGACCCACTGGGGAGCTCGGCAGGGTCGGAAATTTGGGGTGCGGGGGGATTTTGGGGTGCGGGGGGATTTTGGGGTGCGGGAGGATTTGGGGTGCGGG